GAGAGAGAGAGAGAGAGAGAGAGAGAGAGAGAGAGAGAGAGAGAGAGAGAGAGAGAGAGAGAGAGAGAGAGAGAATCACGCACTTTAAGGGAGGGGAGTTGGGTACGTATCAAAGTCTAGTCGCAGTTGCTGCTGCACGGCTGAGGCCACTGGATACTCAAACTCTTCAATTGTATAATACAATACATTTGAGTGGAAATTCTTTGGCGCTGATTCATGTGTCATCGATCGGCTTGGGTGTGAACTCTCATGTGAATGTTCTCTCATGCATGTTGCAAGTTGGGGTTGGATTCTAGAGGTTCATTGCAAAGAAAGCGCACGGGGGGAAAATGTTTGGCGGGTGTACCGGTGGTTTGAAATTTAAACCACTGGTACTTGCGAGCCTCCTTTTTTTCTGATGGTTGATTTTGCCCACCCCTAGACTGCCGGACGGCCCGCAACTTCACTAGGCAAGGGTGAGAGTCTTTATGGATTTCAAAATTAAATATGGATGGAGTAGGATAAAGGAAAACTCTTGCCACATTTTGTTGTAAAAAAAAAGGAAAACAAAAAAGTTGCAACTTGAAAAAAGAACTCTTGCCTCAGATTGTGTCGTCCGAGTCTGAGCAGCATGGATTGGTCAGACGCTCAACGCCGGACTGTTGCTCTGGCACCGGCAAGATGCTTGCGGCTCTCATAGGTAAAGTACATTGATTTTTTTTATTTGACGATCTTATTTAAGCACCCAACATGTGCGCTGTGTTTCTCCGTTACGATGTGAAATTTCCTGTATAGTGTTTAGTTAACTTTAGTACTGTTTACTAAATTTTATTTGCAATTTTGCAGGCTTCTGGGGTGGGCTTGTTCCAGCAAACGCAGAAAATTCGACTGCCTTGGATGAGCTATTGAAAGCTGGTGTGCTTGGTCTCAAGGTACGGGCAACATGATTAAAAAAACAGGGACACAAGTGCAAAACCAGTTTTCTTTTTCTTTTACCCCATAGGGTGTGCGTCTCTTACAACACCCTGAAAAGGCTGGAAGATTGGAAATATTCTTGAAGACTTTTTTTTTTTTTTTTTTCCCTGGTGGCTGCTGGACTTGATTGCCAACAGCAATGGGCATGGAGCGGTAAGCACGAAGCCCACACTTTTTTTTTTTTTTTTTTTTTAATTGTGGACGAGAGCCAGGGTTGTCACAGCCCTGGCCCCGGGGCTACACCCTCCCCTGACCCGGCCCAGGAGGGGCCAAAAAAAAAAAATCCAAAAAAAATCCAAAAAAAAATTCAAAAATTCAAAAGAAAAATAAAAAATACAGGGGGGTGCGCAGCAAAAGCCTGTACCCCCTGGGCCTAACTGCGAAAATGCAGTTTTGGGCCCACCTCGGACCCTGCCCCGGGGCTACACCCTCCCCTGATGAGCTCGGGGCGGCCCTGGGTGCGGGGCCGGGGGCGGGGGCGAGCGGGGTGCGGGG